GTGTTTGCCGGTGACAGTATTCCAATGTTTAACAATATTTAAATATTGTCGCTTGAAGTGGCTGCGCATACCCAGTGCATCGTAGATAAACCGTCCCTTGCTTGCACAGTGCTCTTGGGCTACCGTATATCGTTCTACGGTGTATTCTACATCATCTCTACTTTACGTGTGTACACACAACCGTGGATCGTCTTATTTTCTAAAGAAAAATCTTTCTTATTAACTTGGACAACGACCAGATCTTTTTTTCTCTCTCCCTCCGCCTTCTTCGTCTTCAAAAAAAAAAAAAAAATAAAGTACGAAACTGTTTTCACCCTCGATCAACTATACAGAGATTTATTATGCAATATGCAAAAAATACTTCATTTTTTCATTCTTTTTCTCAAAAAAAAAAAAATATCTGAATTTGTTTGCACCTTCTACGAATGTATAGATTTAAACGATACAGCAAAACTTCATCAATAATTTTTTGTATTTCTGATCCATAGTGATCAAGCATCCATATATTAAGTATTAGCATTAGCATTAATCGTATAAGAAAAAGTTAACGCACGGTTAAAGCGTAAAAACAAGTAGGTATCGAACACCTTCGGGGATAATTAACGAATAGCCGATGGCTAAAAAAGTTAAGAATTCAGCGAAGATCTCTCTCTCTCTCTCTCTCTCTCTCTCTCTGTAGTCTTTGCAATACCGAGAACTAATTATGCATATATGTAAAGAAATTTTTGTAGGATAAGTTCGTAGAGATAGATAAATAGCATTATAGGAAGATCTTTCTTTCTCATTTTATTTAGATTTATTTGTGTTTAAATTGGTCGATCGTTTTTAAAGATTTAAGTTGGGTTTTAATAGCAAACGGGTGCGATAATGAAGCAATCGGGTGTCGACCATCGCAAATTAGTGGCTTCGAAGAATACTTTTGCGGGCGGGCGGGGGGTGTTGTGGTGTTAGTGGTAGTTGTATGCTAGGGTGTTGGTTGGTAGTATGTAAAGAGCCAAGAGAGAAAGAAGATGCTCGTAAATCAGTGAACATCGATAAGGAATCGTCCGCACGATGTCCCTCGTTAATAATTGATACAATTAACGGCCATTCATTAGAGACTCGCGATCTCTGTTACATACACACACACACATATATATATATATACACAACATACATATTAAATCTATATAGATATATATAAATACTTATATAATATGTTATATAAATATATAACCCGTGTATACGTAAAACTCGATGTTTAATGCCCGTTTGTTCGTTTTTTTCGGATCGTAGAATCATTTTGGGTTGTGCTTTTTATTCGCGACAGTTAGCGACATATCGTCGACAGTTTTTCTTCTTCCTTCATCGATGCGTTTCTCATTCTCGAACGATTCCAAGTTCTATCAACAACTCTAATGATTTAAGCGATCGCGCGAACTTGATGTTGTTTGGTTTACGTTGTCTTTCTTTCTCTTTCTTTCTTCTAAACTCCCTGTTATTTCATTTTTTTTCTTTTTTATTTCTCCAATTAGCGAGCACGTCGAGCTTTATCACGTCGTCCTGATTTATCGGAATATTTTTTTCTATGATTTATTCTCGCGACGAAGTGTATCGTTTTTCTTTTTTTTTGTGCGTAGGGGAATTCCCGCAGATCAGTGAAACGTTATAGTAAACGTTGATTATTTCGTTTAAAGAGTGTTCGCTTTTTTTTTTTCTATGAACGATTTATATTTGTTCAAGTTTCTCGTAGAAGTTACAAAGGAAATTTTAATGCGAAAATACGTTTCGAACGTTGCACTAGACAACTGGCGTGTGACGTAAGAACAAATTATTTGCAAATTTATAGGTGCAAATTTATAGGATTTGTTAGGGAAATCAGCATGGGACTTCAAACGACACGTGGCATGACGATCGAATATATTTTTTCGAATGATGTATATTATTATTGATCGAGTATTCAATTTTCATGTTTTTAAAGTGTATTATTAATTAACTGAGTATCGTGGTGTAGTCAGAAAAATATTCATATACGAAGAAGAAGAAGAGTGGGAAAAGAAAAAGAAAAAATAGAAGGAGAAGGAGAAGGAGACGAAGGAGGAGGGGGGGGTGAGAAGGATGGTTTAAAAAGAGATAGAGAAAAACGTTATGCGAAAGCTTCATAAAATCTCAATGCATATTTATAAACGCGTCGAAGAGGGCGTTATCGACACGAAATACTTAATTAATTGCTTAGCCTGTTGGCACTTGAAAAAGAAACTATTCTTTTTTAAGTACTCATACGTTACTTTTAATTTACTCATCTTTTGCGATTAGCTTGATACTAACAGTAATAAGATATTATTTATTAGATTTAGACGAAGATAAAAAGGAGAGAGAGAGAGAGAGAGAGAAAGAGAGACAATAATTGTCTCGTAACGTCTTCATAAAATATAATTAAAAAGAATGATAAAAAAGGGGTGAAGAAAATGTAAACGAATTTAATCGACAAAGGGAAGATTGTTTGAAGGTGCGAAGAAAGAGTATCTTTTACCTATGAAGGGTATGAAAGTAAGAGATGAGAATAAAAGAAAGAGAGAGAGGGAGAGAGAAAGAGAGAGAGAGATAGACGATCATTTAGGCGCGTACGTGCGCCTAACACATATCTCGCGCATGCATCAAATAGCACTGAGCGAGTGTAGTGCAACGGGCGAGTGCAGTGCAACGGGCGAGTGCAGCAAGCTTCTTCACGCTGCGTTGCGTTTCACTGAGTGAGCGCAGTTAGACGGAAAGAAGAAGAAGAAGAAGAAGAAGAACGTCTTGCACTTAAAGAAGAAGAAGAAGAAGAAGAAGAAAAACAACAAGAGAAAGAGGGTACAATATACGTGTGGGTACGTGTGTGTGTGTGATAGAAAAGGAGAGAAAAGTGAGGGCGTCTTGCTTCCGCTGAGTCCACCATGTCGGAGATGGCTTATAAATAACACCATCTCTGCGCTTCTTCTTCCTGCGTTTTGTCAGTTTTTCTTCGGCGTTCCTCCTCTTCCACCTTTTTCTTTTTCTTCCTTCTACTCTTGTTGCTGCTTATCCTCAGGCTCCTCCATCTCCTCCTCCTCGTCCTCCTCCTCGTCCTCCTCCTCGTCCTCCTCCTCGTCCTCCTCCTCGTCCTCCTCGTCTTCTTCTTCTTCGAGATTCTCGTCTGCGTTGCAACGCAAGCCTAATTAATACCGCGCGATGAACGATCGTGGCAAAACCTTCGAAATGAGATCTTATATGAGTACGTTAGAAAGAGAGAGAGAGAGAGAAAATGTATGTAGATACACACACGTTCACCCACGAGAGAATTCGGTACGAGAGATGAGTGCCTTAACGTGTTTCTATCACTTTTTCTTTGTATATGTGTGTGTGTAGTTGGATATAGAGAAGACATTGTGCGAGATGAGAGTTCGAGAATCGGTTACTTCTCGCACGATCTCGTTCAGAAAACCACCCGGGAGTTTCGTTAACCGATATCATCTCTCTCTTTCTCTCTCTTTCTCGAATTTTTTCTCTCTCTTAATTTTATTCCTACTTTTTGTTGTCTTTTTTTTTCCTTTTGCATATTCTCGATCGGCCGATTAAGAGTTCGGAGAGTGTCGAGATGGAGAGTAGGCTTCTTTTTTTTTTTTTTTAGGGTGGTTCGCCATTATCGTTATACGTATTAATATGTATGATAGTATATGTAAAGTATATATACAAGAGAAAGAGAGAGACAAATATATGGTAGTCATGTATAATTTTTCTACATTCTCATTAGTTAGACTGTACCGAATGGAAGATAGGATCCGTGGTTGAAAATATCGATAGCTATGTCAGAGATTCTAATGAAATTCTGAAGTTTGAATATTCCGGAGGAACATGCAGGAGCAACGATAAGTGCCAGCAGATTCGATGGAAGACTCTCTCGAACTTGGTGGCATATCGAACAAGACGATGAAGAAGGAAAATAAAATAAACAAGGAAAAAAAAGAAGAAGAAGTTCTCTCGCCCTATCCATGCTAAGCACTCATCGTGGTGCATCTCTTTCTTTTTTTCTTTCTTTTTTTCTTTCTTTATTTCTTTCGTTTCTGCGCGTTATCGCCCGCGCAGAATCATAATGGTCCATAATTGCATAAATATAATGTTAATTAACAATTAAGATTGCCGCTTTGCCTAATTGAATCGGCGCTTCTGCGAGCTCAGAAGGGACATCGTTTTACGTATAGTATCTATAGTACTCTCTTTTTCTCTTATGGACGATACTCTTGTTTTATTTGAAGAGAAAGAGAAAGAGAAAGATAAAGAGAAAGAGAAAGAGAAGGAAGGAAGGAAGGAAGGAACGAACAACGGTGGTGGTTCAAGCGGTACGGCCTCGTTGCGTATCGAAAAATTATGCGAATGGTCTTTCTGCGTATGCACTTTCGATAGCACGTCGAATCGGTGTGCCGGAAGACCCCAAAACCGGATTACTTTCTTTTCTCCTACCATATTTATTTTTCCCATCGGTTTGTATCAGATAATAAAAAATACAAAATAAAAATCTACAATGAAAAAGGATGGTAGAGAGGAAGAAGATTTTTGGAAAGCTTTAACATTGCTTTTTATTATCCTACATCGTTGGAAAGAGGAATTAACGCGATAATATTATAAAGTTATTACGTCGTCGAGTAAATGGCCTTCTCTTGTTTCCAACATCTTCACCTTTGTATAACGCGTTCACCACATTAATATTTTTCTCCTCCGAATTATAATTCTCTTGTTTTCTTTTTTTCTTTTTTTCGGTATCGACGAAATTCGCGTATAGTGGTGAAAATTTAGGCAGGCAATTAGCGTATACGCCGAGTATCTCTCGGTAATAATTAATTTCGACGTATTTTAAATTCGCCTCATTCGCGTATATAGCAACGAATATAAATACTGTGTGCTTTTTCAAAAAAAAAAAAAAAACATATATCCACGAAATGCATATCGATAAAATCATTCATTTAATTGATCTTTTCTTCATCTTTTTCTTTTTTTTTTTGCAGATGGTTCAAGCGATTCAAGTCCTTCGATTTCATCTCCTCGAACTCGAAAAGGTAAGTTACATCGTAATAATATGATAATTTGACAATTGGAGGCTCATAATTTTCAACATTTTTTCCCCATTTTTAATTAGATATATACCTCTATGCTTTTGGAATTGATTAAACTCCGTTAGAACGAGCTCGCGAATGTATGCCCGCTACCTGTTCAACTCTTTCTCTTTTTCTCGTGAAAGTCCTCCTCCTTCTCTTGAAGACTATCTTAATCGAGCGACGATCGATAAGTCGATAAACGTTCTTGGAAGACAAGACGTCCGGCGCATATCGAAAACTTTTCGGTTTAACTTTAGATGCCCTAAACGCATCTTTTTTTGTTCCAACATTTTATCATACGAAATAGTCGGACATCCATCGCATTTCCATCGAAATGGCAGCTGACGTGGCTGGCGGCCATTGGTTCTGCTCGAGAGGTGGCCCTCATGCGCGCGTTCACTCTTTTTCTTTCTCCCTCTCTCTCATATCTTCGTTTTTTTTTCCTCTTTCTAGTCAAAGACGCTCAGTTTCGCAATTTTATAGCAATTTCATAGCAATTTTCTTCTATTCGAGGTGATTACATTATTGTCGAGTATGATACAACATAACTATGTATGCACGCATGATAACTGCCCCCCCCCAATCCTATCGACGGATGTCAATTGAATTCTTTCATTTCGTCAATAAGCGATCGAGCATTTTTTTCCCGTGTACAAAATGGGCCCGTTTGTTTTCTTCTGTCTGAAAAATATAAAAGAAACATTTGAAACAATTTGAGGAGAAGGTGCGCGCGTGGCTTCGAGAGATATCGATAGGGGAGGATGCCAAAGGAAGATTGAAACGTTTCTGCTGCTAGCATAAGAGAAATTCGAAACTGAGCAGATCTCTGAGCGAGTTTCAAGCGGAATGCAGCGAACGCGAGATGGAGAAGATTCCATAAATATCTGCGTCCAACGTAAAGAGAGAGAGAGAGAGAGAGAGGGATGGTGAGAGGTAGGGAGGGAGGGCGGGAGGCTGGAAGAAAAGGAGTAGAAAGAGGAGACCAATCGGGATGAAAGCCATGGTAGCCCGCGGTGCTGAGCCTCGTGCATTTAACATTTTCGAACCAATCGTGTATTAGCATAATTACGTTTTGCTGGAGCCCGGTGCGTGGAAGGAAGGGCCAGACGGGCCTCACATATACACTGATCTCTCCCTCTCTCTCTCTCTCTCTCTCTCTCTCTTTTTTTTACTCTTTCACTCAGTTTTGTAGTGGAGTACTCGAGCACCTCGAGTCTTTCTCGTACCTCGTCTTTTCCAAAGCTCGGTGTATATTCTGGCTCCTTCTTTTCCATTTTTCGTCCCACTCTCCCTTTCTCTTAAACTCCTGGGCCAGAGCGGCGGGGACAGCCGGCATATATGCACACACCGTCACTGGTTAGAGAGCGGTAAATTTCTTATGGTGTATTATGGCGCGGAGTGCATACCAACGGGATTCGTACGGGTAGAAACGTGCTACGGGAAACTGGTTCCGAATCTATACGAGGACACCTCTATTACTCTTCTTAATCTTTTTATTCTTCTTCTTCTTCTTCTTCTTCCTCTCTTTTAGAGATTATTTTATACCAATGTAATTTATTCTATTATTCGAATTAAATTTGTAATAGTATTTCTGGAAAGTATTACATCAACTCGGATTAGAATCGTATGAGAAACAATTGGAATATTTGATTGATAATTTTCGGTTTATGGAATGATTTTTCCCGTAATTTCCATTTTTCATTGGTAAGGAATAAGAAAATGTAGAGAAAAATTGTTGGAACACCCGGTATATAGGTAGCCTGTGCGTGCCGTAAGGGGTGGTCAGATTGTGAATCGGTCCGCAAGAGGGACCGAGACAGACACCCCGAAACCTTCATTACCTTTGGCTTCAAAGGAGCCCATTGTGCCGTAAATGGGGTTCCCTGCTTTCCTTTTTTTCCTTTTTTTTTTTTTCTTTCCTTTCCTTTTTCTTTCTTCCTTTCTTTCTTTCTTTCTTTCTTTCTTTCTTTCTTTCTTTCTTTCTTTCTTCGTACGTACCCCGGATCTGTTCCATTCTTCGACGCGTTTGCCTTTTCGAGAGTCCAAGAAGAGAGTAAAAATGGCTGTGGAAGAGGAAAAAGAGTTTTTACCTCGTCCTTCGATTTTTTACTTACAATATTTTTTTCCCAAAAATTTGTATATCTATTTAGAAAAAGGAAAAGTAAGGTAAAAAAAAATGGAGGTGATCGGTGAAATGTTCATTCAAGTCGAGATAAAATTCACTTTCCCTTTTCTTTCGTGTTAAATCGTTGCCGTGTAGACAGCAGCAGCAGCAGCAGCAACAGCATCCCCTTTTCGTAGCTTTGGCCTTGTTAAATCGCCCATAAAATGAGAATAATCTCGAGTTACAGGCGACAGGATCCTCGTAGTCGTTTTCGAATATACTACTGCCATTGAGAGAGAGAGAGAGAGAGCTTTCTTTTTTTCTTCTTTCACGTGAACCAACCAACCAACCAGGAGGTTTACTACACCCGGTGTCGATATTTTATTATCAATTTGAAATATTTGTATTATATTATTTTCTTCATGATGAAAATTTATTTCCCGATGGATAGGTTTGCGGTTAAATATGTTGTTTGATGTGATAGTTGAAATCGTTTAGTTTATCTTTCGAAGATGGTTTTAGTTCTATACCAATGGTCATGTGAACCTTTCGCTTGTTCGATTTCTCTTCTTCTACTTCGAATAAGAAGAAGAAGAAGAAGAGGGATACGCTCGAATGCGAGTCGAGTGTTCCGTGTCGTCGGGGACCTCTTGGATCCTATGTCGAGCGGGGTGAGATCATGGTCTGCGGTGTAGGATAACGTCGTGACTCAAAGGGCCGATAGTTCGTAAGAACAAAAAATTTAAAGCAAGAGAGAGAAAGAATAAGAAGAAGAAGAAGAAAAAAAGACGCCATGCTTATGGGCATTCGTATCGTATGTTCCAGATCATAACCGCTCGCGTGGATCGTCGATGCAATAATATGACTTTCAGTTTGGTCACACCGCACGTTGTTTCATAAAAAAAAAAAAGTAATACCATATTCTGCCTGTTGATCGAATTAGAATGAGAGAAAGAAAGAGAGAGACTCCTCCTCCCCCTTTTAAGTTACTTTCCAGTTAATGATAGATATATTTTTATTATTTCATTTAATATATAATGATAATATTACAATTGTACTTGTATGTACAATTTATTAGGATAATATCGAAGAAATATATCGCAGGAAATGAAGAAAAATAAAAGAAACAAACGGTAAAACATTTTCGTCCAATCTTGTTCGTAAGATTTAAGAAAGTAGTTCTCTCTTATGTTATCGAGGTTTGCGACCGTGGAAAAAGAGAAAAAGATAGAATAGGTGGGTTGGTAGGTATGTCGTTGGTCCAACAGAAAAATAAGAATCTCAAAGGATATTAGGATGTTCGGCGAAGCGTATCAAAATCTGAGCTCTCAACGCCGTCCCACCACTACCACCGCCAACCACCATCATCATCATCACTGCAGCATGGATCTTTTAGAGATATCATACGAAAGGAATAAGTCCGAAATGAAAGTAGTCAAAGTAAAAGGAGGAAACAAAAATATGGCCAAAAATCCCAACAGATAAAATAAAAGAATGGAAAAGGAAAAATAAGTGGTCTTGGATTCTGGTTCGATATCTCTCGTTGGATGGTTGGTTGGTTAGCTAACTCGATGGTTTGTTGGGTCGAGTGTGCGTGAGCGTCCTGGCGAAGGAAGGCCGAGTCCTTTCGGCGATCATCGAGCAAGGAGCCCGTTTCTTTTCTTCGGTGAGCATTGTAGGCCGGTTGCTTCGACTCGACTCCCGGCGGATCAAATTCTAACCAGTTGGGCATTACAACCGCTGTCCTTCGAGAGCTCTTTCTCTTCTTCTCCTTTCTCCACTTCGTCGTCCTTTTCTCTTGATTCTCATCCTACGTCCTTCGAAGCTGCGTTAAAGAGAGTCTAGTCATCTCGTCGAAGGCATTGTGTTACCGTGTCGTCACGGTATACCATATTCCTTTTCATTCTTATTCTTATTCATCTTTTTTTATTCTTCTAAGAAAATTCTTCTGCACGTAGTGAAAAGATCGCCATCAAAGCTCGCACCTAACGAGAAAAAAAAATATGAAGTACAGGTGTAAAAAATTAATCACCTTCCAATAATAGCTTTTTTTTCGTAGCAGTCTCGTTTACTTTTTTCTGTTAGAAAGATACAAGAAAATATCTATCCTATTACCTGTCCATTTTCTTAACATTCTTCCCTTGCAAAAATATCCTCGGGTCAAAGTCGCTCTCGACCTACCATTGGACGTTCCACACACAGAGCTTATTCTTCTTTTTCTTTCCCTTATAGATAAATACCTAACGAGAGAGAGAGAGAGAGAGAGAGAGAGAGAGAAAGAGAGTAGCAGGAAAGATGGGGAGAAGGTTCCGTGGAAGAAGCTCCCCACCTTGGTTCCCCCTTGATTTACATATAACAAGATAACGATTTTTATTTGCTCCTCCCTTATATAATACATTTTTTCTAAATCGAATGGGTAAAGGGGAGAGGAAAGAGAAGAAGAAGGAGGAGAAGGAGGAGGAGGATGAAGAGGTGGGTCCTATAGGTCCGTCGGTGCTCATTTGCATACATAACATTCCGGTCGAGTGGCCACTGGTCACCACCACCACCACCAGCACTCTCCATCTTCTTCTCGGCATATCTATTTTTTCCTCTCTTCTATCAGTTAGAAAGCGTATAATAATAATAATAATAATAATAATAATAATAAAGGATGATGATCTGTGGCATTAGTCTAACATTAAGAACGATTTGTTTTCAGGTGCACGAGCTCTGCGACAATTTCTGCCATCGGTACATAAGCTGTCTGAAGGGTAAGATGCCGATCGACCTGGTGATCGACGACCGGGAGAGCTCGAAACCACCGGAAATGGGTAACGGGCTAGACGGAGGCGGTCCCAGGAGCACAGCCGACAGCACCAGCCATACGGACGGAGCTAGCACGCCCGACGTCGTGAGTACCTCACCATCGTCAACGTCTTACTATCCGCACGACGCGCTCACCCCCCACCACCACCACCATCACCACCACCATCACAATCACCACAATCACCATAATAATCACCACCACCATCACCAAAACCATCACCAAAACCACCACCACCACCACCACCACCAGAATAACAATAGCAATAGTAATAATTACGGTGGTATCGGGAGTACCGCGAGTACTAGCAGCACCCCTTCTTTGCAACTGAGCCAAAACCAAAGTCAAAGCCATCAGTCTGCGACTTCGCAGTCGAGCACGACAGCCAACCACAACAACAACAACAACAACAGTAGCAGTAACAACAACAACAACAACAACAATAGTAGTAGTAACAGTAACAGTAACAGTAACAGTAACAGTACCAACAATAACAACAACAACAACAGTCACACGACCACCACCAATAATACCGCTATTACCCCAAGTAGCGCCGCCACAACTCCCAACTCCCTAAAGCGTACGCACCAACAGATGATGATGGCAGCCGCGGCGGCATCCGCGATGGCCACCTCGCCGCACGCAGCCGCATCCGCGCCCCCTGCGCACGCGCACGCCGCCCTCGCCGCCTACCACACCATCAGCTCGGCCGTATACCCGTGCTCGTAATTGGCCCTTTGGCCTAAACGCCGACGTACCACCGCGAGCAGCCCTTCTTAACCTACTCTCATTTATTACATCTTATTCTTCATTATTCTATTCTTATTCTTATATTTACAATAAGTAATATTTATCTCTCTCTCTCCCTCTCTCTCTCTCTCTCTCTCTCTCTCTCTCTCTCTCTCTCTCTCTCTCTCTTTCTCTCACTCTATCTATCTCAGCAACTCATTTCTTTCTATTTTCATTTTATCACTAGAACAAAATTTTCCCATATTTTCTTAATTCGCGACGGTTTACTGGACTGGCGCTACTTGTCGGATTTCGTTAATTCTATCTTTATCTTTACCTATCTCTAACCTCTGTTATCTGTCTGCTAATCTTCTCTTCAACCCTCTCTCTCTCTCTCAATGTGTACATAATAATTGTAATTATTATTGTTATTTAGCGACGACTGGTTTCCTATAAAATCGATTTTTTCGAGATTCTTTGTTACTTCATTAGTCGATCTCTATATATCTCGTTTTTGATGTTGTCCTTGTTAAGTTTCATATTTCTTTTGTAAATATTTTACGTGAACGAGAAAGAGAGATAAAAACAAGAGGGAAGGGAAGGGAAGAGAGAGAGAGAGTGAGAGAGAAGGGAAGGGAAGGGAAGAAATAAAGAAAACGCGTATTTTGCCTGATAAAACCTGATTGCGTAAGACGATGAGGAAAGGGAAGTCTCGAAATGTATTCTGAGAATCTTAAGAATCTTGTTCGTTCGTTGACATCCATGCGTGTTCGGTTGATACGCGAATTCGTGAAAACATATTTTGAGATATTTTCGCAACAAAATTGTCTTGGAAAGCGGTCGTAATGGGCCATTATCGCGAATGGATAGAGAGAGAGAGAGAGAGAGAGAGAGAAGAAAAGATGTTGAAGTTGAGTGCAGAAACGAAATAGAAAGAGAGAGAAATGAAAACTCGTTTATTATGCAACTGATTCTCTGTCTCTTGGTTACTTACCTCTCCTTTTCTGCTTATTCATCTTCTTCATCCTTATATTATTCTATTTATTCTTTTGTACTTTTAATTTTAATTCTAATCCTTAATCATATTGTAAATCACATGCATTTTGGACGTTCGTTATCGAAATTAACTTGAGAGAAAGAGAGAGAGAGAGAGAGAGAGAGAATTAGTTCTCGTGCCGAAAAATCGTCGATGCGATGCTTCAATTTTGTCTTTCATACTTTCTTTCTTTCTTTCTTACTTTCGTCCCTTTCATTTTTCTACATTTTCCAAAACTTTCCTAATTCTTTGAATTCTTCACGTATCACAACCCCATTTTCCGAGGTCTACTCGCGGTCATGGCGGATCGAAGGGCACGCGTCAAATTTTCCGTACGAAAATTACTTTTATGTTTTTCAATTTATTTATTTTCTTTTTTTTTTTTTGTGCTTTTCATTTCTCGCCAATCGGACAATCCGTTCAACCAACGCCGGGAAAATTGTTTTTAATTTCTTCTTTGTTATTCTTATTTGACGAGATTAGAGAGAAGAAACAAGACGATTATTTTTTCGTAATCATTATTCCTAAAACTTGCCGTTTATTTTGAAATTTTTTTTATTGTTATTATTTTGTTAATTCTCTAAAGTAAAAAAGCAAAGATCGACGGGTGGAAAGAAGGAAGGAAGGAAGAAAGAAAGGATAATCGTGTTAACAATTAAATACTAATTAATGAATTAATCGTGATCAGGATATACGTAATAGGATTAAGATTATTTAAAGAAAAAAAAAAGTAATAATAATAATACTAATAAGAATAATATAAAAAAAAAAGGAAGGAAGAAAATGAAAGAAAAGATAAAAAAATGATCGCGGCCATAGTTGAGAAGGAGGAGGAGGAGGAGGTGGAAGAGAAGGTGGAGGAGGAAAAGGAAGTGGATACATTTGTGTCTATTTTTAAATCGCGGGACGTACTTTTTTTGCTCTTGTCTCTTTTGCAACAACAACAAAAAAAATATAAAAAGCATACATTTTTGCGCGAATCGGCTTAGCGAAAGAGAGGGAGAGAATATGCGCGCGTGAGAGGTGTGATAACAAAAAATGGATAAGAAAAAAAATAGAAAATAATATAATAAGAGTAAAATCCGCGTCTTTTGTAGGTAAATATTCTTATTAATCTTTAACTTATTATCAAGCTTCGAGTAATTTTTAGTGAAACATAAATTTAAAAAAGCACGACGTAATACGATTACTCTTGTCTGTATGTGTATATTATCAAAAGTATATTTACGTTTTGATACGACTAAGGACACGAAGAAAGATGCGATGAGTCAAGAAAGAGAGAGGATTATTAATTAATTATAATCAATCGATATAATATATCATTGTACGAAGTTGCGAGAGAATCGATCTATATATGTATAATAATATTATTATTATTATTAATATTGTATAATATTTCTTATAGTGATAAGGTCTCTATAGTCGATCGTCGTTCTTGTTTCTTTTTATTTTATTGTATTAATTGAATTAATTTGATATTTTTTGTATTAATTAATTAATCAAATAAAATATATCTCGTGTTTTTGTGCAATTATTTGATCATTAATAGAAAAATATTTGAAAGAAAATAATGATCGGAACTGTACGTTCGATGATCGAAGAGGCCTCGTCACAATCAGAAATTCTGTGAAGATGAAAAATCTGTGAGATGGAAAATAATCCGTGCGTTTCATCGTCATTTAAAAATGAAAAAGAAAAAGGAAAAATAATAAATCAATGTAGAAAGAAAGAAATAGAAATAACATGAAATCTAGACGGATGCTGCCTGACAGGTTGCGAAACGAGATTTAAAATGCCGATGAATTTGCATAGGTACTTATACTATATAATCAAACTAACGAGAAACTATTAATTATTCTAAAGCCGTACGCGAACGAGTCTCGACGTATGCGGATAACTTAAACGATGGTGGAAAAATATCTTGAATGGATAAGAAATGCAAAAATGTCACTAGGTATCGGTACTCGTAACTAGGGAGTTGTGTGAGGTACAAGTCCTGGTCGGCAGGGCGCGCGAGGTCCACCCCCCAATCCCCGTACTTAACAACCCTTGAACTTTTTCACATGACAGAAAAATTAATTTTTCAATTTTTTATATACATATAATGTATACATACAAAAGCAAAAAAATAATAAGTTTGAGAACAAAAAAGAGGAGATGAAAAAAACATGAAAAACGAAAAGAGCACATTTTTCGAACTCGTCTCCACTTGCTCCTGGTGCCCCAATTTTTTCATAAATGTGTGCCCAATCACATTTTTATTAAATACTTGCTGCTAACACGTATTTATCAAATTTTTATATTATTAATCTTTCTATATATATATATATATGCATATTAATTACATACACTTTACACACGCAAACAGAATTTTAATAACATGTTGATCGTTTGATTACACGTGTCTATCCAAGGAAGTTTATTTGAAACTTCTTTAACGAGATAATCACGTGCACAAATATACAGACACACACACACACACATATATATGTAGATTCATACAGGGTGGACAGGGAACGCGATTGGTGGTCTCGAACAACAGGTACGTAACAAAACAGTAAATAAAAGATGGAAAAATAATAATATCAAAATGAAATATAAATTGTTCGAGTAAATGGGCACCGGGAAGAGACTGGTAGTGATTGGATCGAAGGATGGTAGCTTCTTTTCATTTTCTATTCGATTCTGTATTGATCATAAAATGTCAATAAAAAATTAAACGAAAAGAATATTATTGTAAAGATAAAAAAGAACCATTTTATATGTATACGCACGCACACACACACATATATATATCTAAAGAAAAAAGTGCAAGGGTGTTGTACGGAAGTTTGGAAGGTGGGCTTCGGCACCGGTCGATCGGAACCCTAGTTACGAGTGCCGAGCCTAGGGCCGAGAGATTTCAATCTCTCGGCTTGTTTTTTATTCCCTTTTCTTTTTGATATCAGTCAACATCTCGAAGATATACCAATACCGAAAGAAAGAAAGAAAGAAGAAAGGAAAAAAAGGAATTAATCCTCAAGAACCTAAACCTAAAACCTAATGCGAGGAAAAGAAGATAAATAGGAAAAGTATGCTTTTCATATTAAAATCAATTTCTTTTTGTTCATATTTGTATGTTTGTTTATGTGTGTGTGATCCTATATACGAATATTCAATACATCCTAGGGAAATTTCGGTTTCATACTTTTACATCTGGTATATATGATTGTACGTATGTATAATACGTATGTATGAGTCTTTCAAATTAATATGAACGAACGAATGAACGAACGAATGAATAATTATTATCTAATTAGAAAGTTTAAGGTAAAAGAGATTT